TTATTGATCTGTGTTGTGCTACTTTCATGTTATCACTGTGAAGCTGCTTTGATACAATCTGTATTGTGAAAAGCGCTATATAAATAAATGTGACTTGACTTGACTTATTTAACAACATCAGCTTGTTCCACACATCATATATCATTACGCCATTTCTACGTCACTGCAAATGCACAAACATTTCCAGTTTCGGTTTTCAATCCGATCAAGCGTTTACATTTCATATTTCAAACGGATTGGGCATTTTTATTACAATGGAAGTGTGAGGATTTTCATTCGGATTGGATTGAGGATTGTAACTGGAATACGCACCGATTAATTCACAGACTGATCTCATGAAATGGCGTGTGTATGATACATACGTCCAATTCGTATTTCCATTTTTGGCGTGCTATCAACACGCATAATCGCTTTTCAGCATTTATGAACACCGTTGACTTAACGTTATTACTGTATATATAAATATATGCCCTACCCCAACCCCATCCCTAAACCTACCCGTCACTGGGGTTAATGGCATTTATGAGTCTTCCCCTACCATCCTAGGAAAATAAATATCGCTCCCCAGATGTAGATGTACATTTTGCTTCGTTTCGCTCGGACATTTAACGGCGTGTACATACACGCGAAATCACTCGGAGTTTTAACAGCATAGACATACACGCGGATAGCTCACAATGCGTATAGATAACACATCACTTGACTTGAAATTAGTGAGTGTGTTTACGCAAAAGTCATGATGTCATGTTATTCAGGACTGTTTTCTGTTAAATAGAGCAGCAACACAAGCCCCCCCTGATGAATAACAGTGAGCGGCGTCTCCTCTTTCAGGGAGCCGAAGGCCTAGTTCACACTACATGAGTTTCAGCTCGATTTAAGCCGGATTTGCAAATCGTTGAGCTCGCCGACAGGTCAGGGTGTTATCACGTGCAAATCGCGGAGAATGAACGCTCGCCAATCTGTTCGTATAAAAAAGAGCCAACAACGCATCAAAGACCATCAGACGCATCGTAAAGCCCAGAGAAATAACTAGCATGCTAGATATCCAGAGCTGTCGCATGACTCAACCTCAGTGATGTCATGAGCTATTTTTCGCGACAAAACGTTGACAAGTTTGTAGGCAAGACAGAATCGTTGGGTGACAGAGTTGTTGTCAGCTCGTGTAGTGAGTTACCTCCTGTTGTGGATCAATCACGTTGTGTCGTGTGTGTGAACAGCTCAACAACTTGAACACTCCTGATTTCACAGAGAGCAAGTCATGTAGTGTGAACCGCACAGTTCAGCCCGACGTTTTAAAATCATGTAGTGTGAACAAGGCTTAAGGCCCTGTTTACACTACAGGGGTTGGACAATGAAACTGAAACACTGGCCAATGTTGGAGGTTTCACATCTATATGCCTGGCGGCCAATCTTCAGAGTGAAGCACGGGTGGATCAGTGATGGTTTGAGCTCCAATATCATGACAATCCTGATTGTATTTGATGGACACGACACTGCCGAGGACTACCAAACCCTTCTGGAGGATCATGAGCACCTGACGCTCAAACCGTGAATCAGCATGATCATGCACCAACACACACAGCAAGACTTGTGACAGAAGGGTTTGATGAAGATGAAAGTGACGTTGAACATGCAGTCACCAGATCTGAATATTATTGAGGTGTTTTGGAGGAGCGAGTCCACCAGCATCATATAGTGACCTGGACACTGTTCTGGAAGAGGAACGGCTCATAATCCCTCTGGACCAGAATCTGTCAATTGGTGCTGTATTTGGATGCAAAATGAGGCCCTCACCATTCTAACAAATTATTGTGTTGTAAAACCAGGTGTTTCAGTTTCATTGTCCAACCCCTGTAGAGCGTTTTAATAAGCATAACTTCGGCTTCAGTTACGCCTGGGGTCACTACACCACAGTTTTAAACCCTTGAAAATGGAGAGTTTTGGAAACGCTGCAGACCCTGTTTCAGTTTGAGTTTCACTGTAGATTGACCAAAATGACGACTTTGAATCGAAGGTAGATTTACCGAACATAAATCCTGGGTTTACGTTTGATAAATCTGTCCCTTAATCCATACAGGCTTCAGACATTCCTAAAGTCCTGATTTCAAGTGTGGATCTGTAAGTGATGATGTGGTGATTTCCTACTTGAGATAGAAGGAGAAGACGGGCTCATCCAGCAGGCCTTGCGCCATCATGCTGTCGAACACAGGAGAGCCAAGCTCCTCCGCCAGCTGAGGGAAGCCCAGACCCAGAATCCCGTCAAACTGAGCCAGGACGAACGTGAAGCCCGGCTCGTACACGGCCTCGCCGAACACCTGATTCTGGACTCTCATGGAGCCCACCTGAACCCAAACAACATATGAATACAATCAAGTTCTTGAACTGAACTTCACATCAGGAAGGCCAAACCATCTCAGAAATGGCGGAGAGTGAGGGGATACCGTCAGCTGTTCTCTGGCCATCACTCCCAGAAGGTGACCGGAGCCGTACTGGATGCCGAAGACCCGTCCGTCGTGTGCGTACGTGCTCGACTCAAAGGCCTTGAACTTGTGGTGCATCGCTGTGTAAACAACAGCCAGGTCACTTCATCAGGGCAGTTCACACATGAAGCCCGGGTGAATGTGTGTGTGTGTTAGTTACCGCACGCTTGGCTCACGCAGTTGGACGACGGGACCCAGAGGTCAGAGGATCCCGTGTCAAACACCACCGTGAAGTTCTGCCCCGGTTTACCCAGACTGATCTGGCCGAAGAACTGCGCCTTCACAACACATGATGCAAAGCCCGCTTCAGTCTTAATCTTTGGCCTTTTTAAAGAAATCACTACTTTATTCTACAAAGATGCATTAAATGGATCAAAGGTGACTGTAAAGACATTTATTTTCAAATGCTGTTCTTTTGAACATTTAAAGGGTAGTACTAGTCCGTAGGCTTCTTGAGGGAATGACTCTTGCTGGCCTCGAAAAGTCATTAAAGACATCGTTAAAATAGTCCAAGTGACTACAGGGGTTCAATCTTAACTTTATCAAACGACGAGAACACTTTTTGTGCGCAAAAAAACAACGACTTTATTTCAACTATCCGTTTATTTCTCCCTCTGCGCGAGTCAGGTTACTAGTTTAATAGCGTAAGCTTCTGTTATTGTACGTAACACGCATCACACACATGACCAGCGTCGGCCAATAGTGAGCCTTCGTGTGACGTACGCAATCACACTACGTTAACTGACTACAGGCCCATGGAGAAGGAAGTGAATAGTTGAAATAAAGTCGTTGTTTTTGTTTGTTTTTGCGCACAAAAGTGTTCTCGTCGTTTGATAAAGTTAAGATTGAGCCCCTGTAGTCACTTGGACTATTTTAACGATGTCTTTAATGACTTTTCGGGGACAGCAAGAGTCATTCCCTCAAGAAGCCTATGGACTAGTATGCAGGAGCGATCTTAATATCTTAAATATCTTAATTTGTGTCCCGAAGATGAACGAAGGTCTTACGGGGTTGAAACAACATGAGGGTGAGTAAATACTGACAGAATTTTCATTTTTGGGTGAACTAACCCTTTAAGAATCCTGAAAGAAATTTATCTGGGTTTCCATAAAATATGAACTGTTTTTAACACTGATAATAATCACGTATGTTTCTTGATCATCAGATCCTCATATTAGAGTGATTTCTGAAGGATCATGTGACACTGAAGACTCGAGTAATGATGCTGAAAATCAGCTTTGATCACACATATATACAACCCGAATTCCAGAAAAGTTGGGACGTTTTTTAAATTTGAATAAAATTAAAACTATACGACTTTCAAATCACATGAGCCAATATTTTATTCACAATAGAACATAGATAACATAACAAATGTTTAAACGGAGAAATTGTACACTTTTATCCACTAAATGAGCTCATTTCAAATTTGATGCCTGCTACATGTCTCAAAATAGTTGGGACGGGGACACGTTTACCATGGTGCAACATCTCCTCTTCTTTTCAAAACAGTATGAAGACGTCTGGGCATCGAGTTTATGAGTGTCTGGAGTTTTTGGTGTTGGAATTTGGTCCCATTCTTGCCTTATATAGGTTTCCAGCTGCTGAAGTGTTCGTGGTCGCCTTTGACGCATTTTTCGTTTAATGATGCGCCAAATGTTCTCTATAGGTGAAAGATCTGGACTGCAGGCAAGGCCAATTCAGAACCCGGACTCTTCTACGACGAAGCCATGCTGTTGTAATATCTGCAGTATGTGGTTTTGCATTGTCCTGTTGAAATACACAAGGCCTTCCCTGAAATAGACGTTGTCTGGAGGGGAGCATATGTTGCTCTAAAACCTTTATATAGCTTTCAGCATTCATAGTGCCTCCCAAAACATGCAAGCTGCCCATACCGTATGCACTTATGCACCCCCATACCATCAGAGATGCTGGCTTTTGAACTGAACGCTGATAACACGATGGAAGGTCTCCCTCTTCTTTTGTCCGGAGGACACGGCGTCCGTGATTTCCAACAAAAATGTCAATTTGGACTCGTTTGACCATAGAATACTTTTCCACTTTGAAATAGTCCATTTTAAATGAGCCTTGGCCCACAGGACACGACGGCGCTTCTGGACCATGTTCACATATGGCTTCCTTTTTGCATGATAGAGCTTTAGTTGGCATCTGGAGATGGCACGGCGGATTGTGTTTACCGACAGTGGTTTCTGGAAGTATTCCTGGGCCTATTTAGTAATATCATTCACACAATCATGCCGATGAGTGATGCAGTGTAGTCTGAGGGCCCGAAGACCACGGGCATCCAATAAAGGTCTTCGCCTTTGTCCCTTACGCACAGAGATTTCTCCAGTTTCTCTGAATCTTTTGATGATGTTGTGCACTGTAGATGATGAGATTTGCAAAGCCTTTGCAATTTGATGTTGAGGAACACTGTTTTTAAAGTGTTCCACAATCTTTTTACGCACTCTTTCACAGATTGGAGAGCCTCTGCCCATCTTTACTTCTGAGAGACTCTACCTCTCTAAGACATCCCTTTAATCATGTTACAGACCTGATATCAACTTAATTAGTTGCTATAGATGTTCTCCCACCTGAATCCTTTCTAAATTTCTTGCTTTTTCAACCATTTGTTGTCCCCGTCCCAACTATTTTGAGACCTGTAGCAGGCATCAAATTTGAAATGAGCTCATTTAGTGGACTAAAGTGTAAAATTTCTCCATTTAAACATTTGTTATATTATATATGTTCTATTGTGAATAAAATATTTGCTCATTTGATTTGAAAGTCGTATAGTTTTCATTTTATTCAAATTTAAAAAACGTCCCAACTTTTCTGGAATTCGGGTTGTATATATTATTCTTTACTATATGAAGAGTTCAGATGCAAAAGCCTCTAAGTGCCATTTGAAATTTTCTTCTAGAATGATCATTTTTGATCAAGCTTGTATATTTAAGTTCAGTAATTTCACTTAAATTGCAATGAGGATTACCTATTAATTGTCATTTAAGTGAAATTACTGAACTTGAATATATAGGCTTGATAAAAATGATCATTTTAGAAGAAAATTTCCAATGGCACTTAGAGGCTTTTGCATCTGAACTCTTCATATATTCACATAGAAAACAGATGATTTATATTCTAATAATATTCAAGCTTATGTAAATTTAAATAAATGCAGTTGAAAAAACAAAAATCAGACCAAAAAAAAAATTCTTACCGACCAAACTTTTGAGTTGTTGCATTTATAAATTTGAGTTGATAGTGTATTATTTAAAATACTTAAATTCTGCCATTGTTGTGCATAAATCTTGTGACTAGCATATTTCCCATCTTTTAAATATATTGTTTATTCAATAAATAAGAAAAAGTCATGATCCCTTTGAAGACATGAATTTAGATGACAAATTTACACCTGCTGTTCTTTCCCAGTTAAGAAGGGATGAAGAGCGTCTGAAAAGGTCAATCCTCATGATTTAAAGTGAACAGCTGATAGTTTGAAACATCCACACTATATTCCCTTTCGGTAGGGGTGTGCATAAGACTAAAGTGACACCTTCATAATCATGACATGACATACGTTATGAATATGAAGTAGGGTTTATGCATGTTTATGACAACTGTAGTGTCATTCGCTCAATAATGACATTTTTAATGCAAATATGACATTGTTTGAGATGTCTTTGTTAAGACACCTTGACATAAACCAATACATCATAACCTGTCAGTGTCTTTGTCATGACAACTTAACATTACTAACACAACCTGTCATAAACATGACATAGCAGATTAATTATCAAACTTAAAGGATTAGTTCACTTTTAAAAAAACGTTTGCTGATAATTTACTCACCCCCATGTCATCCAAGATGTCCACGTCTTTATTTCTTCAGTCGAAAAGAAATTAAGGTTTTTGATGAAAACATTCCAGGATTTTCTCCATATAATGGACTTCAATGGGAACCAAACGGTTCAAGGTCCAAAAGATAGTTTCAGTGCAAACTACAAACTGTTTAATGGACTTTAAACGATTCCAGACGATGAATAAAGGTCTTATCAAGTGAAACGATCGCTCATTTAAAGGGATACTCCACTTTTTTGGGAAATAGGCTAATTTTACAACTCCCCCAGAGGTAAACAGTTGAGTTTTACCGTTTTCAAATCCATCCAGCCTATTTTTTGATATTTAGAAAAATATCAGTAAACAGACAGTTTCTGGTCTCATTGACTTCCATAGTAGGAAAAAAAATATACTATAGAAGTCAATGAGACCAGAAACTGCCTGGTTACTGATATTCTTCTAAATACCAAAAAATCTGCTGAATACATTCAAAAACGGTAAAACTCAACTGTTTAACTCTGGGG